TTGCAAGAAGGGCAGGCTACTCCATTGGGTCTTCCTAAATGCTCTTTTCAGTCAGTAATCACGTTCCCGTAAACTGTAGTGTTGAAATGAGGAGTCTGGGTTTTTTAAATTTAGGCAGTGTTTTGAAGGAGTGCCCTTGGAAAGCATTATTACTCCAAGTGTGGTTCACGTTGGATGGTCTGTGTAATTAGGGCCCCAAGAAAATCATTCTAATTGCAATCACAGCTCAGTTAAATTTTTGCTAAAAACAATGTATTTCACATGTGGACTTGAAACCTACCTTGTTTCCCCAAACAACAACAACTTACAATAGGAATAAGAGTAAAACAAAACTGGCCTGAGCGGGGCCAGAGGGAACACCCCTTCCGTTCGGACAGCAGGGAGCCACGCCGGGCGGGGCTAGCATTCCAGAACGTCTTCATTTACGGCGGTGGGCGGGGCAACCTCAAAGGTCGTGACACCTCCGGAATGGGAGAAATCATTACTTCTCAGCACTGGCAAGTTCTTGGCAAGTTTTTTTTTTTTTTTTTTTTTTTTTTTTTTTTTTTTTAATCCTCACCCGAGGACATTTTTTGATATGTTGTTCAGATAGAGTGGGAGGGAGAGAGAGAGAGAAACATCGACGTGAAAGCGACACATCGAGTGGTTGCCATCCACACGACCCAACCAGGGCCGGGGACAAACTGCAACCAAGGTACGCGCCCTTAGTGGGAACCGAACCCGGGTCTCTCCGGACCGCAGGCCGACGCTCTAACCGCTGAGCCAAACCAGCCAGGGCTCTTGGCAAGTTTTAAAGTTATTTTTGTCCGGCCCTGGCCAGTTTGGCTCAGCGGTTAGAGCGTCAGCCTGCGGTCCACAGAGACCCGGGTTCGTTCCCGCTAGGGGCATGTACCTCGGCTGCAGTTTGTCCCCGGCCCTGGTTGGGTCATGTGGGTGGCGGCCACTCGATGTGTCCCTTTCACATAGATGTTTCTCTCTCTTCCTCTCTCTCCTTCCCGCTCTATCTGAGTAAAAAATGGAAAAATGTCCTCGGGTGAGGATAAAAAAAAAAAAAAAAGTTATTTTTGTCCGTTTATATCGCCTTTTAATAGGGAAGTACTATGCGTTTCCCCCTCACCGGAAACCCCGTGTGTTTCGTTCTTCCAGCACATCCCGTGTGTGTGCCGGTACTTGTTTAGCCCCAGGTGCCTTGCACATAGGCGTGCTCGCGGTCTTGACAAACCGCACCAGTGAATTCTGACAGGTTTGGAAATTCCCGCCTGGAAACGAAGACCATGCCCCCTGTTCAGCGCCGCGCGAACGGGACTTGGGAAGCGAGCCGGTCGGCGGAGACTTCTGCTCTGCAGGCGGCCCACGCGCCCGGGGCCGGGATTAAACCTCCCGCCTCGCGGGCGGGCAGAACGGGCGCCAGGCCCCGCGCGCAGGCCCCGCCCCCGCCCGACAGGCTGAGCCGAGGGATGGAGCCGGCGCCGACTGTGCTTCCGGTCGCGCGGCGGAGGCCAACGTGACCCCGGAACCAGACTCTCACCCTGGAAAGGGCTTTGGGTGTCGTGAGGAAGCCGTGCGAGTCCGGCGACACGGACCAACGGTGGCTGCGGAGTGCGGCCGGGAGCCCCGTAGTTTGCCGCCTTCTGGTGTAGGCGGGTTCCACACGTCGTCCGCCGGGGTGCGCACCGCCCGTTTGTTCTCATGGGTCGGGCTGGCCATCAAATAGAGATAGAATTGAAAACTCAAGTCCGACTTAGCTGATTTTGCCAAATATATGGCAGACGTTCCCCATAAATTATGTTATAGCTGCAGCTCCGAGGTTTGTATGAAAACTAGGCATTGCCCTGGCCGGGTTTGCTCAGCGGTTAGAGTGTGGGCCTGCGGTCCCGAGAGACCCGAGTTCGGTTCCCGCTAAGGGCAGGTACCTCGGTTGCAGTTTGTCCCCAGCCCTGGTTGGGGTTGTGTGGGTGGCAGCCACTCGATGTGTCCCTTTCACATAGATGTCTCTCTCTCTCCCCCTCCCACTCTTATCTGAACAAAATATGGAAAAATGTCCTCAGGTGAGAATGAAAAAAAAAAAACTTTTAAGCATGTATGTTAGGCCAGTAGTGATATCCGTACTAATTAGTTTATAGGAAATTTAGCTGTCATCCCAGTGTGCTAGGCAATATCATTTTTTGCAGTTTTCATATACATGAACAAAAGGTCGAAAAGAGCTTCTGCCAGAGCTCTGATGCCTACTGCCACTGAAGGGTGGCATTATGAGTTTGTGCCTACAGGACATGTTCATTGAAGCTTGGGTCTCATGAACAGATAACTGTGCACTGAGTATATTTTATCTCTCAGCTGTGACACCTGTTACCCTCAACTGAAATATAAAATAAAAACCTAAGGGTTGCCTTTGGTTCCAGCCCCTCTAGGTCTGTGTCCTTCATTTATTTGGGACATGAACGTTTGGCTTTGCAGTCACCTAGCTTCCGCAGGCGTTACTACCCAGAGAGGAATCAGAAAATCTGCCCAGCTGTTAGCTGTAGATTCTGGTGAGTGCCCAAGCTGGAACAAAGAGATCAGTAGCTGCTCTTCCTAGGCCAAGAAATGGGATGGCTGTACTAGACTTAAATTTTAGCATGTTCACCTGCACCTTCATACAGGACTGGGATAAGCATTATTCTGTACTGTTTCTAGGTTGCCAACTGCTAGGGTTGAAGCTGACCACTAAGGGATAAGCAATCATCTTTCTTCCCTTAAACCCCACTATTCCAGGCCTCACCATTATTGCTGTCAGTCTCCAACCCAAATAGGTAACTCAGTCTTGCCCATTTTGTCTTGAGAACCCCATTCCTTTTCTTGGTCGGTGCCACCCTCCACCCTTCCCACTGTAGCCCAGACCCATTTCTCCAGGTTTATGTTCCATGTAACAGGTTACTTGCCTAACCTTTCCAAGTTGGTTTCCTAAATGTTTTCCCCTCTGCTTGGACCCAAGGTTAATTGACTTCTCATCTGCTCCCATAATCCACTTACATAATTGTTACTAAGAGTCAACAATTTTGATATATTTTTTTATTGATTTTAGGGAGAGGGAAAGACACATCAAGGAGGGAGAGCATGAATTGGCTGCCTCCTGCATGCCCCCCACCCGGGATTTGGCTAACAACTTGGGCATGTGCCCTGAGAATCGAACCAGTGACCTCTTGCTGCATGGGTGGATGCTCAACCACTTAACCACACCAGCCTGGCAAGAGTCAGCAAGTTTTAATAAATGCTTTCCATTTTAGTTAATTGGGACTAACCCTAAGTCACCCAACAATTAGGTTTGGATCTATATTTCAGACTCTAGTTTTGTACCTTCAGTGTCAGAACTCAAATGTTAAAATCATCCTGCAATCCTTAACTACTGACCACCTGTTTTAGATCCATGGCCTTAGCTTCCATAAGTCCTCACAAAGACATTAAGGGAAAACTCATCACTTCACCTTTCTCCTTCAGCACTGTTATGTAAGATGCAAAACCAAACAATCTAGTTCTTAGTTTGTCCAAACTGAATAAAGCCTTATTTCCCATTATTTAAACCAATCAAGCCTCCCCCCACCCTTCCTTTTATTTGATGGTTCCCAGCCCATGCATGATCCCATAGAGCACTCAGAAGGAAACTATCCACCAAACCAAACAGTTGAGTTTTAAGTGTTATCTTAACTGCTTTTTTGGCTAGGATTCCAGACTGCAAAGTTTTATTTTGGGCCAAAATTTAAAAAATTTTCAAAGAAATCTGAACACTGTAGCAAATTATAATTTACCCCCAGGATCAAGGGGGTCCTGTGCGCACACAAGCCTTATCATGAGATTTTTGTAGGATATACAAAAACCCAGTTTCTGGCCTTTAGGTTATCCCAAATGTCTACAACATAGACTACAAACTAGAAGAAAAATTGTTAGCATTTCTTGATCTACTTCTTTGAACATTAAGCCTCCTATTCACAAGGACTCCTAAATCCTGATAACTGCTTTCTATAATTCACTTTGATATGTAAAGTCCTGGTGTTTAAAATTCAGATTGCCGGGGCCCAGGTCAAGATTTTGGTTATGACTAGAACAGTTTAGTCCAAAGTCCAAGATGAGGGAGCCAGGTAGAAAACCTGGGCCCCGGCAATCAATTCCTTTGATTAAGGAATTTTGTCCTTAAGAACTGCCTTAATTCTTTCACTCTTCCTTAGAACACGTCCCATCAAATTCCTGTAAAGACCATGCCCCATCAAAACCGAGTCTTTCCCTTTTGAGCCCCATGGGACAGTTAAGGACAGTCTTCCACTCATTGTAAAATCTGAGTATACAATGCAAACAGGCCTTTCAACTGTTTTATGTTTATCTACACACACACACACTCTCTTACACATCACCAACAGGTATCATTCTTACTTTATAAATGAAAAGTTCAAGTCAGGTAACAGACCAGGGCCTCTAAGTGTGGGTGTTATCTCTCGCACACTTTTTCAGGGTGGTTGGCAGAAGAACCCAGGCCCTGATACCCTTAAATCCTAGAACTTGTTAGGGAGGTTTCTGAAGCACAGGTAGGGAAGAAGAGATAGATGCCAAAGGATCTACACTCAGACCAGAAGACAAAAGCACTTGTGGACATTTTAATGAGCTCCTCTCCATGTGACTCCACCAGCACCATCAATCTTCTCAGCTCTTCAGCCTTGCCAATACCCTTCATATCCTCCTCAGCATTTCTGCTGAAGAATTTACAAGCTGCTTTTGGGAACTTCCCTCCATGTGGCTTCAAGCTACCAGGACACAGGCCCCACCGACACCCTTAATCTTCTCTTCAGCTCTTCTGCTGAAGAATTTGGCCTTCACAATGACAGGCTGCTTTGGGAGCTTTCCCTTCCCCAGAACTTTGTAGTAGCCCTAGAATAACAGAAAAAAGGGTTATCACACACTGTGGCAGGTACCAACTCCCTAATGGGTATGAGGAAACATGCCAGACAACCCATTCCATCTAGGAGCTGGCGAGGGTATGTTTCTGACCTGGGCACTACCGGGGACACTGACTGCCCTCGCCAGTGAATCAAGACCAGAAGATTCTCTCCGAGAACTCTAGCACACCAGGACAACAGCTGTCAGGATGTGACTCTAGTCTCGGGTAAATCACAATCCTCCCTTTTCTACTCAGTTACCATCTAATAAGCAAAAAAAGGAAAACCACAGTCCCAGAAATGTTCCAAGAAGTCTTGACTATCAGAATTTCTCAAGGGATGGTAAATAGGCTGGGAAAGGGAATTTAATGCTTAACTGAAAGCCCCCCTCAAGGCTTAAGACTACTTCTATACTCATGGGAGGGTATGACAGATACAAGGATCAGAATGTCAAATAATAAAAACAAACAAACAAAAAAAGGGCAAGCTTGGATGGGGTTTTTAGGGAGAAGGGGGTGGCTCTTCAGGTAACGTGGGGCCTTAAATACCAATCAAACATATCAGAATTTTATTCTGTAGGGAACATGAAGGGTCAACACCTGTGCCTAATGCAAACCTGTGTAAAACACACCAGAGCCAGTTGAGCTAAGATATTGCCAGTAACTCAGGCAAGAAATCAAACCTGTACAAACCAAGGCAATAACAGTAGGAATGAGATTACTGATTGGAAAAACATTCAAATGAAAATAAAGTAACTGAAAGAATGAAGAGAAGAGGGCATTACTCTTCAAATATTGTTGAATCACAACTGACCTGGAGTTCAATTTTGGTGAATGAATTACCTCTGGAAATTCTACCAAAAGGTAGAACTGTCTAGTAGGTAACTGGGTACAGACTTCAGGTGGGAGGTCAAGTAAATAAGATTACTCAGGGTTGCAAGGAGAGGTAAGGATCCATAGAAAGGTAAAAATATTCATTCACTCACCGATCGCACCACATCAATGATAGGAGCAGCTCCAGTCTTGTTTTTGGCAGCATTTACCCGTGTCTGTTCACTGACCAAGGTCCACAATTTATCAAGGTTGACAGTTGGGCAGAAGCTCTGGTTCCTCTTTAAGTGGTAATGCCTCATACCAACTTTTCCGAAGTAACCTGGGTGACTGGAAAGAGAAGGCAACTACTTTCACAGCCTCCCTCCAATTAAGAATCTATGCTTATCATCTTTATTATCCATCTCCCCCCCACACACTGTAAATTTTTAGCAGGCGCAGAACTATGGCATAAAAGATATTCCACTCATCATTTGCTGAATAAAACAAATATTTATAAAATGCCACCAAAGACTTTCAAAAGGAAAAGACTAGCTTTATTTCATGAAACCAGGTTCTTTAAGTCCCTGAATAATAGAGATCTTCTAAACAAATAGTTAAAATACCATCCCCTAATTTGTGGGCATAATAAATAAATCTAACAGTTGTATAGATCAATCTGATGCATGTCACTAACCTGGTGACTGACTATGTCATAGGGGGGCCACAGTCAGTGAATAAGGTCAGTAGTTACTCTTCGAGGACTCTAGCACACAAAGGCAATAGCAGATACCCAAGCGTGACTCTAGCCTCAAGGACAAATGTTCTCAGTACACAGCAAGTGTTAACTTGGTAAAAGCCAACAACAATAGACAAGGTTTGTGGAGGTTAAGAGGCTTGCTTCACGTTCAAGATGCTGGGAAGAAGCCTCCCCTAGTCCCCACCCCCACCTCCAAAACTGTCAGCAAAATACAGTGCAAGAAACACTCACTATTTGTCGAAGTTGATTCTGTGATGATGCAAGCCACCAGCATTACCTCGGCCTCCCGGGTGCTTCCTGTGCTTGCCTGCAGCATTACAAAGTTACATGGCCTTCCCCAGTCCAATACTTCTCCCAAAAGCATTCCCCCACGCTTCTGCGTTTGCTTATGCCGTCCCCAGTCTACACCACCTCCTTCAGCATTGCTACTCCTTCAAGACACGGCTTAAACATCTCTTTGTAGCACTACTACAGTATTGCATCACTTTAACCAATACTGTGCCCCGTTCCATTTTCAGCTCCCCAACTTATGTGATATTCTCTGTAACTGAAGCACTAGAGGATTCTCAAAGAAAAAAGTCAGATTCAATCCGACCCGACTGCAGAAAGCTCTTACTAACCCATTTCTAAGCTACCTACCTCTTGACCAGGTAAGCACCAGGCAGGGAGAGTGCAAGGCCAAGCAGGTTGGAAAGCCGGCACTTACCGATGCGGCCGTGGCCGTGGCTCACGTGGCCCCGAAGTTTCCGGGTCTTCCTCAGTCTGGATGGCTGTGTGTAAAAAGGTGCTTGGGATAAGGACTAAGACAGATGGGGCAGGGGTAGAAACTTGCCGGATTGCGAGGGGCCCGTGCGGCCTCATCCGGGCGGTGCCCGGGCCCGCGTGTCTGAGATCCCAAACCCAGGCCGAACACGCAGCCCAGGGACCCTGGCCCACGCCAGGCCTCTACCCTGCGGCCCGCCATGCGCGACCTGAAGACCGGGCTACGGTCGAGGGTAGGTGGCTGGGGTGCAAAGCGAGTAGCGCTCGCGGCCTGCGCCAGCAGGAAAAGGGAGGAACGAAAAGAATAACCTACCATGTCGGTGGCCGAGACGCAAGAGGAAGGCCTTTACGAACTCTCGCGAGGTATGGGACGGGGGCGGAGCCAATCCACCTCACTTCCGTCCAGGGAGGCCGCGCCTAGGGTGCGCTTCGAGTGTTGCGCGGCTGCAGGTTGTACCTCTTCCTCTTCCTGTAGGTTGTCGCCGTGGTCCCTGGCTGTCTTGCTGGTATGGCGACTAAGAGCGATTCTCTGTGCCGCCCGCCGTGTGCACAAGCTCGGAGGCCGAGAGTTGTTGCGGAATCTGAGACTTGGGATGCCGTGGGCCGGGCCCTTTTCTGGCGCCGGGGCCCAGGAAGCGCAGTAGGCCGCCGTCTCAGCTCCTCACCACACGCCCCGGCCGTGAGCGCGCCACGCGCCCTGCTCTGTTCCCCGCGGTCCGCTCAGCCCGGGCGGTAGAGATTGCTTCCTTGCCGCCTCCCTGCCCGGGCCGGTGCGGAGCAGTGAGGCAGTATGTTTGACCCTGGGCGTGCGCAGCCGGTCCCTAGAAGTCTCTCACCCTCTGGGACCTGCCAGCCGCCCCCCCCCCCCCCCCCCCCCCCCCGCCGTGAATGGGCAGTTTCAACCTGCTATACTTCAGGGACTTGAGTGCCTGGTGGCTTTACAGTCTTTTTTAATGCAGACCCTGTGAATTTCCTAGCCGCCACATGTAATGACACCGGTGACACCCCCTCCCCCCAAATCCCTGCTCAACCTGTACCCAATACAGTGTCTTGTGAAACTTCTTTGACCCATTCAGTCATAGTTGCTCTCTTAACTCCATTTGTGCCACCACTAAATCTAGTACATAGTTGTTACATAATTGTTGGTCCTCTTTTGGCTTCCCTACTAGGCCAAATTCCTTAGCAGTGGTTCTCCACCTTCCTAACGCCAGAGACTCTTTAATACAGTTCCTCATGTTATAGGTGACCCCCAACCGTAAAACTATTTTCTTTTGGTACGTGCCCCTGGCAGGAACGGAACCGGGACTGTCTGGCCTACAGGCCGATGCTTCAGCCGCTGTGCCAAACTGGCCAGGGCCATAAAATTATTTTTGTTGCTACTTCATAACTGTAATTTTGCTACTGTTATGTCTTAGGTGACCCCTGCGAAAGGGACGTTGGACCCCCCAAAGGGGTTGTGATCCACAGGTTAAGAACCGCTGCCTTAAGGCCTCAAGGGATTATTTTATTTTATCCATGCACTCCCAGGAACTGGGATGTAGTATGTGTTCAACAAATGATTAAGTGAATGAATACACCTACCTTCACCTCTCTTTCTTCACTTAAAATTAAAAAAAAAAAAATTTATTAGGGTGACATTGGCTAATAGGATCATATCGGTTTCAAGTATACATTTCCATGATAACAAAATCTGTATAGTGCAGTGTGTGCCCACCACCCAAAGTCAAACCATTTTCCATCAGTGTATATTAGGTCCCTTGCAAACACCACCACCCCACCACCCCCTACCCTCTGGTAACCACCACACTGTTGTCTGTGCCCATGAATTGCAGTTTTCTATCCCACATGTGAGGGTAGTCATGTGGTTCTTAGCTTTTTCTGACTGATTTATTTCACTTAGCGTACTATTCTCAAGGTTCATCCATATTGTCGCAAGTGGCAGTATTTTGTCTTTCCTGATGGCTGAGGAGTATTCCACTGAGTATATGTGCCACATCATCTTTATCCAATCATCTACTTATGGACACTGGTTGTTTCCATGTCTTGGCCACTGTGAATAGTGCCGTAATGAACATAGAGGTGCATATATCTTGGCGAATACGTTTTTAGAGTGTTTTGGGTAGATACCCAGGTGAGGGATTGCTGGGTTGTATGGTAACTCTATTCTTAATTTTTTGAGGAACCAGTGGCTGTACCAGTCTCCATTTCCTACCAGCAGTGAATGAGGGTTTCCTTTTCTCCATAACCTCTCCAGCACTTGCTATTACCTGCCTTGTTGATAATAGCTATTCTAACAGGTATGAGGTGGTATCTCACTGTAGTTTTTTTTGTTGTTAATCCTCACCTGAGGATATTTTCCCATTGATTTATTTTAGAGTGGAAGGAATGGAGAGAGAGAGAGAGAGAGAGAGAGAGAGAGAAAGGGAGAGAAACATCAACGTGAAAGAGAGACATCACTTGGTTGCTGTTCACATGACCCATACTGGGGTACGTGCCCTTGATCAGGAATTGAACTCATGAACCTATGATCTGCAGGCTGACGTTCTATCTGCTGAGCCGAACCAGCCAGGGCTCTCATTGTAGTTTTGATTTGCATTTCCCTAATAGCTAGTGAAGTTGAATGTCTTTTCTTAGAACTGTTGGCTGTTTGTGTGTCTTCTTGGGAGAGGTGTTTGTGCAGGTCCAATGCCTGTTTTTTAATTGGATTGTTTGGTGTTGAGTTTTATGAATTCTTTATGAATTTTGGATATTAAACCTTTCTTGGAGCTGTTGTTTGCAAATATCATCTCCCATTGTGTCAGTTGCCTTTGTGTTTTATTGGTTTCTTTTGCTATGCAGAAGCTTTTTAGTTTAATATAGTCCCATTCATTTATTTTAGCCTTTACTTCCCTTGCCTTTGGGGTCAAATTCATAAAATGTTCTCTGTGACCAGGGTCCATAAGTTTAGTACCTATGTTTTCGTCTATGTAATCTATTATTTCAGATCTTATATTTAGGTCTGATCCATTTTGAACAATTTTTGTACATGGAACAAACTGTAATCTAGTTTCATTCTTTTGCATGTGGCTTTCCAGTTTTCTCAGCACTATTTATTGAAGAGGATTTCTTTTTTCCATTGTGTGTTTCCGGCTCCTTTGTCAAAAATTATCTGCCCGTATACATATGGTTTTATTTCTGGGCTCTCAATTCTGTTCCATTGATCTGTGTGTCTGTTTTTCTGCCAATACCATACTGTATTCATTATTATTATTATTTATCTTTATTGTTAAAAGTATTACAGATGTCCCTCCTTTTTCCCCCCATTGACAGCCTCCTCCCTGCTCCTGCCCCCACCTTCACCACACTGTTGTCTATGTTCATTGGTTATGCATATATGCATATAAGTTCTTTGATTTCTTTTCCGTCCTTCCCATCCCCCTTCCCTCTGAGGTTTGTCAGTCTGTTCCCTACTTCCATGTCTTTGGATCTGTTTTGTTTGTCATCTTATTTTAGTCATTATAGTCCACAAATAATTGAGGTCATGTGATACTTGTCTTTCTCTGACTGGCTTATTTCACTTAGCATAAAACTCTCCTGTCCCTCCATGTCATCTTAAAGGGTAAGAGATCTTTCTTTCTTACAGCTGCATAGTATTCCATTGTGTAAATGTACCACAGCTTTTTTGTCCACTCATCTGTTGATGGACCCTTGGGCTGTTTCCAGATCTCAGCTATTGTAACTAGTGCTGCTGTGAACATAAGGGTGCATATATTCTTTCTGATTGATGTTCCATTTCTCAAACTTGCAGTGCTTATCCCCTTCCTGAGCATGTATCCTGAATGTTCCTCAACCTTTAAGCCCTCCTTATAATCTGCTTCCCAGAACATTCCAGTCCACAGTGATAATAGCCAAATACCCCTTGCAATTTACAAAATGCATCTGCCTGAGAAAACGCCATCAACCCCATTTTATGAATGAGAAAATTTAGGCACAGAAAGTTGAGTGACTTGCTAGAGGCTGTGGAGCTGCTAAGAAAGAGAGCTTAGCCTTTAGTAGTCTTCTCTCTCTCTCTCCAGATCCCCTGCTTTTAACTCAGTGACCACAACTTCTCTGACCTCACAGCATTATGGTCTTCATCACTCTTCAGTCCTTAATCACATAGTGCCTATGACCAGCAGAAAGAGGGGCCTTGAGGGTGCAGGGCAAAGTCTAAGAAGAGATCACCCTATATTTGACATCAAAACTGGCCAATAAATGTACATGGGATGAGCTGACCTAACTGGAAACTACCCTGGGACAATGCTTTATGAATTAA